TGATTCGGACTTTTGATCTGATCTTTGATTTTAGTAAAGAAACACACCCAAAATGAATTATTTTCTAGTGATCGGAGACCTACGTTATGCCCACAGGATCAGGATCAATAATTACTGCGACATTCGGGTTGAAGAAATGGTTTACGGCTCTCCTAATTCCTATCTCGTTTTGTGCTCAATGAACCCCACTAGTACCACATGAGGTAGCACGAATAGACGGATTTTACCTCAGCAAGATGTCCCAAGTTGATTTCCCTAATGATGAACAATATGGTAGAAGTGAAGGCCCTGAGTGCAGCTTCTAAAACCAGTTGAAGAGAGTTCGAAATCCTTTTCCATTTGAAAGATTTTGCTTTCAACCGATGAACAACGAATCTAAAAATATAAACAAGAGGCTTAGCAGAATATATTATCATAGGTAATTAGGGCTTTTTCCCTTTTTCCTACAACAATGCCTAATTAATTTTTCATGCTAGGCAACTAAAAACAAGATTTGAACCATGGCTTGAAACTCACACCAGTGGTAGTCCTAGATACAAATATCCGCATATTTTTTTAACCCTAAGACATATTTAAAAAATCTCATGATATTTAGGAAAAAATTGTGTATTTTAGAATTTTTTTGAGAAAAAAATATACTGCCATCATGTTTTTTTCTAGGAAGCTACTTCAATGCAAATGAGGGCATTGGCATTTCAGTGACAGAAATTCAAACAAATCTCCACATATGGGCCTGTAGTAATCAGATTCAGCAATATTCTCCATTTATAATATATACAACGTTGCTAATGTTCAACAAAATGGCTGATGACTTACCCTCTGAGCCACGCACAAACGAAAAAGTAGTGTCCCTTTTAGACCACTTTAGATCTCCAGCACCTAATGGTCTTTCACGAACTCTGCCTGTATTTAAGCGCAGTGATCTAGTCTTCTTGGAGGCTGACGGATACATGGCTGTAAATAAGGCTGACTTTATGTGGAATTGTTTAGAGTTTTGCTGTATGCTGTACAAGAGTAAAATTTCCTGAAATTTGCTGAAATTTGCCGGTGTTGCCATTTTTTAGATGACAGGCTATATTTTTGTGTTTTTACTGTAATATTTATGAAATGAAGCCAGGTATTTTTGAGATATTTAGAATAAAATTTCGAGATATTCAGAAAAAAATCGGGAATTTCCGGAAACATATTCAGGCGATTTTTGTGATATTTGTACCTACAATTGTAGGCCTAACCGGGGCCTTCAACGACGGTTTCCACCTAAATGCATTGAAAATTAAACACTACGTTATTCAGCCCTGTCGCGCGCGAGAAAAAAAGCCTCTGGCACCCAGGGTAATTTCCCAAGCGATGATGAGAGCAACTGAAAAGTCGCCAGAAAGCACTGATAAATCTTTTAAAACCGTTTATAACTAAATCAATTTTTTTACGAAATGACACAACTTGCTTTCATGTCAATTAAAGCGAATACCAAACACTTGCTTAAATTTTTGAAAACTGGGTTAGCAAAAATATCAGCTCATTATACTACATGGCAAGTTAAAAGAATAAAACTAATTCAAAGGCCGATTAAAAGTCTTTATATGACGCCGGGCAGTACGTTAATGGTCCCTAGAAGCATTCGAACGACTCCAAATTTAAAATGACGCAAATTTTAGACAGTGTTTTAGAACATTTATTCAGTAAACTGACTTCGCGAAGTTTCAAACCGGTGTCATTTCAGTCTAGAAATTTTTAAGTTGAGTGAACTGCAGCGAAAGAGTGCCTGGTTAAGGCTTACATAACAACTTAAATGGTTAGCAAAACAGTACTTTTTTCGCGGTTCGATAAACAACAGGATTCCGCATGGGATAGACAACAAACTGAATGAAACGTAGTGCACAAATTATCACTTTACTATCTTCAAAAATCGGCCTATGGTTCAATGCCATTAGAGCCCGCTGAAACTAGACCTAGATCCAATTTTCCTGATTCGAGAGAGTCGCTTTTCCAAGGTACAATCAGCTAAGCTAAACACCGACGAAACAATATTAATGGCTGGCACAGAATATTTTGGCCAGACCGTAGTTCAACCACGCGATCCGACATACCTGTCAACACCATGCGGAAATCACACAATCACACACTTTCGCGGCACTGATAAGACTATCCACAACCACGCATAATCTTCTCACGTTTAACATATTAAGCGAAATATCATCGAATAACTCGGAAACACTCAGCCTATTGCCAGATAAACACCTCTGGACTTTTCTATTACACTCGTCTTATTCAAGTTCCCGGATGTACAGTCACACGCACGGCGGATCACCTTAGCCTTCAGTTTTCACACCAGAAAAAAGCGAAGTCTTGGCCCGGGTCAAAGTGCGCTCACCTAATTCATTTGACTCCTAAGAGCCTGTTCCCGAGGCCAAAGACTTGGTGGTCACCTTAGAAAAACGAACAATATCGTACCTTTCTGTCTCAGCCCGGATCAGTGAAAATTGATCCGTTTTAATAGCCAAATGAAACGAGAATATAATACGATATTGGACGATGCAGACTCTGTGAATCGTAATAACTTTGTCCCATCTCAGGGCTTTGCATGATGCTCTCCCGGAAACTTTTCTCAAGGTCACCAATATCTAACACTAAACTGCTAAACGGCACCGTAACTAGCTTTTCAGGCGCGCACTCATTTCAAATAACTGTCACTTGTGTTGTGGGTAGGGAAAAAAACAGGGAGGCGGTGGGGGTAAGATAGTAATTCTTTCGACATCCACTTCTACACAAATCCCTAACCACAAAACAAGCAAAAAAAAAACGACATAAGCAAACAACACAGTAAACAAGCTAGACATATAAAATTCTGCAAGCAGAATACTGCACTACTGCAATGCTGATCGTACTACGTGAAAATTAACTCTGCAAGACATCAACACGACACCGAAAGAACTCAAAACAGAGCGGGATTGTAGCCATAGACAGCTTTTTCGCCCTTTTTGGGGCTCGTCAGTATGGCGCAACAACCAGAGAAAACTCTGGTGAAAAATATCTGCGCACTCTGATTAAAGCCCTGACCTAGAACCCTCAACACCCACAGAATCACGCCATACCACGTGTCTCCTGGAGGGCAAGAGTAAACAAGCTATTAGACCGGAGAAGTTGAGAAAAATTACAAAATGTTTGCTAACCCGGTTTTCATAACTCCAGGTATATATAATCACCAATAATTAGGGTCTTACCAAGAGCCATAATTGGTTTTACCCCTTTTCCGTGAACCGGTGGAATCAGTAGGGAGCCGCTGGTTGACGTCACACGATAATTACCTTTGGGAGCTAGAATTCTGTCATAATCCGAGCGGAGCACATTAGCAAAGGTGTTGCGGCAATCACCTCTTTCCGGTGTCAAAGTTGCAATTATTCTTAGCTGAGTGATGTTAATATGTCACGTCACTGCCATATTAAGAATAAAGATAAGTTGACTCGTCCCCAGTCGTCTCTCTCTCTGTCTCTCCTTAGTGACGCGATGGGTGTGACAGGAAGGAGGAAAGCGTTCAACCGCAGGCGAGTGGTTTCACTGCAAAGTTTTGAACATTTTATGGCGTCATTTCTATGGTCTATACTCTCATACACCATAGCTCTCGACCGATCAGCGCCCGAGGATTCGCTAAGTTATTGTAAATAGTGTTTGGAAGTCAGGTAAAAAACTGCCCCTTTTTGCATCCTTAATTTCTCCTTCTAAAAATCATTTTGTTTGAGAAGTAACATCAAGCATTCGACACACATTCGAAGTTCGTCAAAAATACTCCGCTGCGTGTCGTATTTTCAACTCTCTTCTTAGTGTACTGTTTCATCTGCTGATGAAACACTCCGTCTCATGCTGGATATATTTCTTCCAATATGGAACCTCTAGTTATTATCATTTATTATTTTTCATTTATTTTTTAACTCATCGAAACCCGAAACGATATCATAAATAAATCGTACGTGTTGATTAAACAGATTGCAAAATACACAAATATAAACACACAAATACAAACAACCATATCCACCAGGGCCCAGTTGTTCGAAGGCCGAATAGCGCTAACCCAGGGTTAAAGTTTAACCAGGGTTTCCTTTTCGTTTGTTCAAAAGCATTTTCCCGGATTATTTTCTCTATTCTTTTTAGGCCATCCAATCATTAAACTGTAGACAAAAATAATAACACTGATTTTGCTTTTTAAGCTTTGATATCTAAATTCAAATTTTGCACTAACCCTGGGTTATCGTAACCCTTCTTTGAACATCCCGGCCCTGTAGACCACATTTATGTTTGTTGTTGAACCATGTATTTCATTCTTTTACAAAGTTCTCGTTCTAGCGTACCACGTTGTTTCCGAGCAAGCTTTATCGATTCAGGGGGTAGGTTGAAAAGGAAAGGAATTGTTGGCCCCCTTCCCCCTACCCCAAATCAGTAAGCGTTCGATCAACTTAGTAAAGAGGCTTTGTTAGCCACTCATTTTCAAGTCATTGTCATTCACTTTAGAAAGCTCAGGTAAGACATACTCTCTACCATGGAAAACGGAATTAATGGAGCATAGTTTATTGTCCCAGACCCGAACACATTGTTCCATCGCTCTTAATATGATTTGAAGAGCTACCCAGTCGCCGTCACGCCAACAAGAGGTGAATATCTTTAGTTTCTTACTAGCTATATCTCAGACGATCGTGTTGTACAACTGCTTTAGGGACTGCGTTTTTCTCTTGTCAGCTTTCTTAACGCGAGGCTGTGACAGGCGGACTCTCTGGGGAACAAATGTCCTTGCGTTACGTGTTCAGTTGACAAGAGCTACGGCTGCTTTACAACTAATCCTTTGCGAGGCGGGATACAGGTCTCTAGTGCAAATCGCCACTCCTCAGTCTCATGAAATTTCAACAGAATGTCAAAAACTGAAACAAATGAGAACAAAATGGATACGATACAATTATATCACATGTTATACAAAGAGCCAGAAGAGCTGCGTGACGACACAAATAACAACTGTGCAGGGCACTACAACCGAAACACTCTGCTCGCAATCATTGTGCAACTACGTTACCCAGGAGGGCCACTAAATTCTCTACTGGGTGGTTTAAGTGATCACTTGAAGGACAAACATTGAATGAAAATATATAAAACTAATTTACAAATATTAAAGGGTAAAAGCAGTAAAAAAAAAAAAGAAAAAAGGTAAAAACGGGTAAAAAAAAATATATAAAAAAATTATGAAATGGGAAAGCTATCTAAGCTAGCATAACTATCCTTTATAAAATTACAATAGTTCTGTTTGAATGCGTTAATACAGGTGCTAGATCTTATATTAATAGGTAGAGAGTGGCAAAGTTTTGCGGCTGTAACAAGAAAAGTTTTTCCACCTTCTGTGTCATGGTTATACCCAGGACAGCGTATAGTTATATCACCATAGCGTGAGGTTCTGGTCGACATGTCGCTGTTACGCACCAATCTACTACCTAAGTACTCTGGAAATTGTCCATTTAAGCATTTGTAGAATAAGCGTAAATTATTTACATTGATCTCGTCATAAAAGGGTAGCCAGTCCAGTCTCTTGAATAGGGTTACAGTACGTTGGTCTCGCGTTTTTTGGCCTAAAATAACACGAGCTGCTCTTTTCTGAAGACGAAAAATTCGTCTAATATTACATTTTGATGTTGAACTCCAGACTGCTCCGCCATACAGGAATACAGGCTTAATAGTTGTGTTGTAAGGAGTATGCGCTCGTTTAGAGGAAGATATTGTCTGATCGATCTAAGACCTACATGTTTTGTCGGTTTCCTACATAGTTGTTCGACACGTTCATTCCGGTCAAAAAATTGATTATCGCCCTCAGTAACAAAGAAAAAAAAATTAGGGCAACTTATTTGAAAAGTGTCTAACTTGTCAATCGATTAACGCCAATCATTTCGCCTCAAAATAACAGGTCAGATTAAAATTAGCCATGGTTTGTCTAAACACCGTCAAAACTTGATTTCGGCAAGAGAGACAAAGTTGAGTAAGTTCTTTGTCTAATGAAACAACGCGACGGGCGAGGCTTAAGCGCCGGACCTACAGATCCGGAGTTCGAGGCGTTGTCCACTCGGCCACACACTCCTCCACTGCCTTACCCCATGCTTACTGCTAAACCAATGGAAGAGTGAATGGGTACAAGCTTTGAAAAAGATATACTGTTTATACAGTATACTGTTTATTTTTCTTTTCCCGACTTGTCACGCACTTAACACATGCTTTATGTTATCGTGGATAAAATTATTTAGAAATGATCTAAAGGAAAACAAAAATTACTTCGAGTTATTGGGAGTCGACTATACCTTGGTTTACTGTAAGCACTTTTGAAAAGGAGTGGTTTCCAGGTTTGCTCTTTCTTTCCATGTACTCTTCAATGGGAAGCCGTGCTGTGTTCACATTCTTAGCTTCAGCTCGCGACTTGGTCCTGTCCTTAAACATGGAGGCGGATATTAGTAAAAATTCTACTAGGTATGTGCATATTAGCATATCAACTCGTTAATGTGCAAAGCATAATAGATAAATGGCTATTACCACATTTGAGGTTGCGGTCAAAAAATTCTAAGAGTGGGTTTTTGAAGGTAAGCAAGCCAGTTTCCTTGCTTCACTTCGCTTCTGTATTAATTTCAGTTTAAGATTCAGTTTATTCAATTTGCCAACAAATGTATTAGCAATTTCACGACAATATAAAATGGCGAGCTAGCAAACAATTTACGTGGTCAATAAGCAGCACAAAAACCAACAACAATCAGTGTTCTACACATTAAGAATCAGTTAAGGAAATGCTTTCAATCATGATTTAAAAAGGCGGATATGGTAGCAACACTATCTATATCTAGTATATACTTAATATAATTAATATATACCATGGAAAGTACATTTAAGCATTTGGATATGATCACATATGCCTGGCAAATAATAAAATTACAAATAGCACTTCTTATGAGTAATATGAACAAGAAGATCTAAAATCAGCAGATGCAGGTCACCACAAACTTGTCGAGGGTTTGAAGAATATTTCCAATAGCTGTCTAAACCGGAGTACGTTATTCTTACCCTGAGGACATGATGATCTACCAGCCCGCCTATGATGTAAACTTTATCACTGTTAAGTTTCTCGAGAACTGAAACATTAAAGAAAAGCATATCAACTTTCGTTCACTTCTTGGTAAAATTTTAAAAAAAAGTGCCAGTAGAGGGGAGACGTCGTTTGTCACGTTGCCATGGTAGCAAGATCAGTCGTGGATCTCAACAAACCGTGGTCCTAGCCGATAGAAAGAACGAAAACGTTGACATGTGTGATTTTCCTCTGCATGATTGCACACAGGAGCAAAACGGCAGCTCGTTCGACAATGCAAATGGCCTTCGCTGTCAAAGAAAGATTGTTGACATCCAGAAACTTTGCTGCCATGGTAATGTGACGTAACACTTCTCCTCTCTATTGATTTTCCTTCGATTGGTTGGGTATTCTTTCTAATCACATTTGTTTATAGCGTTATATGTGAGCAACAATGTACTGGGACACAAAAAAACGTCTTATCCTCGTGGAATTGGTTTTGTTTTGCACTACCATACTTCGGATTAGGGAGGACGACAGTCGAGTTGTGTTTCTTTTTTAAGTATTGTTAACTGCCACCTATAAGACCGTTCCCCCACCCCCAGTCATAGCTATCTACAACTGTACTTGTGACCAAAAAAATATAAGGCCAGTATATAAGTCGCCCTGTAGCTCCGATTAAAAGCCAATTTGCGGTATCGTAATAAGCCGTGGGTTCAAGACAATTGCAGATAATAAATACCACATCATACCGTGGGGGGAGTCTGGTGTAAGATATACAATGTCTTCGGCATCAAACACTTCTAAGAAACTCTCTTCCGTCCTGTGCACCTCAAATAATACAAAAAAACTATTTAGATATGCAGCCTATTTTCAGCAAATTGGTAAAAGCAGTAAAAGTTGCACTATCAAAGAAATAAGGGATGATTATATTTTCTTTGTGAGTTAAATTATTCATGTGCTTATTCATTCCCCTTTTCATTTCTCTGTAAGGAATCTGGCTCTAACTAGAAATACTGTACTAACACTTCCTTAAACTTTCAGCCTGAAAATTAAGGCTGGCGTTCTTCACGTTTACTGTTTCCCTTTTAGCTGCCCTGTATACTCCCCTGTATACTCAATATTATTTTAAAATTTTGGTCAATTTGTTCCGTGGCTAATGGCTTAAAGTTAAAATTGCAGTTAAAATTTTTTTTCACACTCGCTGTAACGGCTGTCAACATGACACTACAATGTTACCCTCTGACGTCATAGATTTTGCAATGCTGCCCGCTCAGAGGTTTTGGTGGGAAACAGTTTCATTGTTAGACGTCATGAGACTTAGAAGTAACCAATCAGATCAGGTTGTTGCGGGTTGTAAAACTTTCTTGCAGAAAGTAAAGACTAGTTCTACTTCTTGCAACACAATTTGTTCATGTTGCGCGTTTTATCGGCCCAAGGCAAACTTGTTTTGGTGTTTTGTAGCAAATGACGCAACTCCCGTGTATGGCGTGACTCCGCGTATCAAAAGTCAGAATTCACGTGCAACTTGAAACAACCTGATTTGTTCAGTTGCAAAACAAGTTTGATCCGTAGGTGATAAAACGCACAACATAGCTTTTCAACTGGCTTTGAAGCAATGTTGCAAAACAAGTTGCACGTTTGTGTTGCCCATTTTACCGTAGCTTACGTAAAAATGATAATCTTGCAGCTGGATCTGCTTTGGACGAAGCAAGAAATCTGGGTACTAGATTTGTTTCATGTGCCTCCAAACATTCAAATAGAACAAACCGAAACTGACAGTTTCATTCGACTTCTACCAGTTTACTTACCAAAAGCTTGTTGAAATCTAGCGACTGTCTGACACACTCGCGGTACACTCTACCATTCGTGTCCAGTCCCGTCAGATGGAGAAAAACAGGGGACACTGATTTCATGTTAGAACCATACAGCTGTCTCATTTGAGCTGCAAGTTTAGTCACTTCCTGTAAATAGTACCACAGAGTCATTTACCAGGCATGATGATGCCAGCTCCAATTTAGTCTCTGGAACTGTCACTTCTACGAGAAAGATGTTATATAACATAATTGTAATGTAACGAACGTGGAGCGGACAGGATTCCAGCTGAAAGCAATTCCGAATACAGGCAGTGCGCTCTAACATTTGAGTTGCTAGGAGCTACGATAACCACTGTAAACAAGACGCTGTCAAAACGTAATTTATGTCGCTAGCGTGAACTAAACGGCAGGGGTAATTTGCAGAATTCCGAACACCTAATGGTGAACGTCGAACGACTCTGAGTTTAGTGATTGGGTTTAGGAAACCACTGAGTGAATCAGGTTCCATCTAGGTCCATAATACTGGGAAAACTGATCTGAAACTTGATTCACACAGTTTGCGGAAACATTGAAGAACAGTTCCCAAAAAAATCTGTCAACCAACAATGGGCCGACAGTTGGTCGACAAACAGCCGACAAGCGGCCGACTATTGGTCAACAGTCACCCTAATCATTAAACTTCAGAGAAAATACCCCTGCCGTGGGCTAAAGGCAAATTTAAGTTCACCACGAATCTCAGAAAGAAAGTCAGAAGAGAACTTGAACAATATTCAGACTTTGAAGTGGTTCTGCGTGTGTAGATTGGCGACAGTATAAGCCAGCTCTCCAAAATTCTCAGATGAATGGAGCTGACAAAGTGAAGACCATTATTTTAAGCAGAAAGAACATGCTAGTGCGGGCAATGAAAATCATCAAACTGTCGGAGGAAAACTTTGTTCACCTTGTTGCTCATGTCTTCTGATAAAGTAAAATCAATGGCTATTCTCTGGCCGCCATTCTTTATTGCATTTTCTACTCTCTCTCTTTGAATTTTCTTCTTTAACAATTTTGGCACGTGGTCTTCTTCTAATGGAGAAATAAAAATACAGTTTAAATCCAACACCAGAGCTTTCAGGCCTGAAAGAATTCACTATTGTTGTGTCATAACGTGTGTGGGAACTGATAAGAACATCTTTGGTAATTGCTAATAAAAAATAAAGATGTTCAGAAGAAACGTTTCCATGCTTGAAAACTCTACACTCAAGTCCCTTATGCAACAACGTCTGCGAAGCAATCAGTTTTACAAAACAGTATTTGACGACGTTTTAGTGACATGAAACTCCCCGTATTGTAGTTTTTGGTAGGAACCGACTGTAGTTCGACACTAGTAAGCATTTACCTCCGCTAAGCAACCTCTACCTCTAGACATTTTCAGTGATAATTTCCTTGTGGGGGATTTAACTCACCAAAATCTACCCCAGTAGCTAGGTCTCTCTTTTGCCTCTTTTGAATTGTCAATGAGGTTGTTACCTAAATTTATACTGTCTCTTATTCTTCCCTCATGAAACTTTACAACATGTACTACAGTAAATTATGTACCTTTTAGTGTAACTGGTTCAATTTCACATTTCCCGTTCTCCTGTTTCTCCTCCCGCCTTCGTTTAAAAGTTTCCTGCAAACAAACAAACAAACAAACAACCAAAAAAAGATCAACAAATAGTCTGAGAATTCTAAGTTTTATACCCACCTCCTAACTTTAGTCATGGATATACACCTAATTGCAATAACATTGTCGTAAAAAAATGAAAAAAGGAAAAAGCCAAATAGGAATTAATTAGGCTAATAAAGCCACATTCTCAGGGTGGATTCATTTGCAGCTGCTGCATCTCCCCGCTGGAATTTTTTTGATTGTTTTTCAGCTTTAAAACAATAGCAAATTCCAACAGGCAAATACGACGTCCATGGGCGGACGCTGCAAATGGATTCACTAGGCTTATTAGCCTAATTAATTCCTATTTGGCTTTTTCCTTTTTTCATTTTTCTAACACAACATTATTGCAATTAGGTATACATGTAACTCTAATACCTTCTTTCTTTTCAGTCTTAGCAAGGACTTCATCTCACTCTTCTGAAGACAAAAAGAAAGTTAGAAAAATAGTATTAGCTAATATTAGCCCTTGTAATAGTATTTATAAATAATAATAATTTATAAATAATAATAACAATAATAATAATAATATTAATTACTTTCAGTATTGTTATCAAAAATAATAACTTTTCACCCATCACAAAATTTTGTGAATGATTTCATGTACATATGTGTAAAACACATGACTTCAATATACTGGGTTATTAGAAGACACACACCTGCTGAACAAATTGTTCTCAAGTAGGGATGCTAATAGTAGACTGGGAAAACAGCTGACATTTCGCAAATTTCCCCGCAAAATAACATATGAGGAACGAGTGCAGAAATTCCATACTGATATGTCGTGTCACAACCTAGATCTGGGTAGTGATTCTGATTGGCTGAAGCAAATTTCCCTTGTGCTGCTACGCTATGAGTATGGAATTTCTACTTTTCTTCCTGAGACATCATTTGGTGGAAAAATGTTGGCAGTTTTTTCAGGCTAGGAGAGTGAGTTTTCTGTGTGTGACAGACTACACTACATACATGTATGTATAAAAAGAGACTAAGAGAAACTGCCCCAAGTAGAGATTAAAAGGAGTGTGGAAAAGTTTTAAACGACTCTTGAAACTTAATAATTTGGCAGACTTACAGAAAGACGTGACATTTCTTTCTTTAATTCACCTATCAGCATCCGAATTTCACCTAAGTTTTCTATATCTTCCATTTGCGTGGTAACTCCATGAAACCTGGAAAGACTAAAAAGGGCAATCAAGTTTGAGGTCATGCATGTTTAATGGTAACCAAATATTGATTTGAAGAGGTACAATGTATCTGTGATTCGCTACTGCATGGACTGTTAATTGAAAACAATGCTTATGCAAAACAATAGACGAAAATAAGGAGTACTACATGGCGTTTTTGAATAAATCCTTCATGTATAATGTGACAGACAACAGTGATGAACTTTGAAAAACTGATAAGCTTTTAAAAACCCAAATAAAATTATTATGGCAATCTGCATTTGAAAATCTTCCTCAATTTTGCCCATTTGTACCTTCTTTTGGATATTCAATAATTATTGAACCTTTCTTCAAAATTAGGCTATTTGTGTACTTCATTCTTCTGTTACTTAAACCTTTACTTCAATATTGTTTAAAAGTGATTATTTGTACATTTTACAAACTCAGAATGTTGGACAGTTTCCAGTAGCCTGTGAACAGCAAACGTATTTCCTGTCGTCACTTCTTCAGGCTAAGTTTCTGGTGGCTGAATTAGATTTGCTAAATTGTTGGACACAGTCCCTTCAAGTGGATTCTCTCATTACAGAATGTAATTTTTAAGATCTCCTTACTAGTATCCACAGAAATTGATGAGATGTTGTTTGATATTAGGAAGAGGTGTATTGTAAACTTCACACAACTCCAGGTACTGATCAACCACATCCAAAACTGTTGGCTGTTTCTTACAAAACAGTGCTGGATTGGCATCTAAAGAGTCTTTGAAAAATAAACAGAACACAATATTATTAAAAGACATGAATTATTGTGGAAACCTTAAGTCAGAAAAGGTTACAGGCACATTAGTTCCCAGACCAGTTAAATGTACATGTACTTTCATTCTAAGAATGTGATGCAGGTATGCGCAATACAAGTTGCTCCAAGACACATGCCCCCTAACTGTCTGAGTGGCAACAACAGCTTCACAGGTCACACATCAAGGTAAATTTATGTAAGGAAACAGTCTTGATGCTAGAGCAACCAACGTGGCCATTCTTATTGATTCGATATTTTTGCTTTGGCTATTCCTCGACAGTCTAGAGAAACCTAACAAGTAAGTAATGAATAACAATTAGCTGCAGAGGTCTGTGGCTATTATCTATAAGATGCATCGAATAAAAAAATGAATATCTAGTTGTTAAAGGAAAGATAGATTGGCAAGCAAAAATGTTGAGGCAGCAGCAATGGTCCTCAACACTGAAAAGTAAATTTGAAGTCAAGTTTCCAAATTGCAGTCTCATTTCAGTCCACTGGGCTTTGCAAATTAACTTTTATGGGAAACTGTTAAGTCTTGCATTTTAAAACAAAAGAAAAATGTTTCATCAGGATGTCCTCTGAAATGTCACATATATACCTAGATCTTGTAGCTAAGATACATGTACCTTCTTGACAATTCTAACACTAGAACACATGCTGATGACTGAAATAATCCTTACCTGACACAGCTATACCTTGAACTCCAGTGTATTCTATGCATCTATCAATTTCCCACAAACTGGATGAGCCCACATCAAGGATGAATGGCACAGAAACAGAGTCACTAGACAAAATGAAAATTAAGCAACAAGACATGAAATATTTATCTTATAATAATATTATTCCATACAACTGTCAATAATATGTACCAAAAAAGAAACAACTTTACATGTCCCCAAAACTCTGGGGAATATTTCAGAGAACAAACAAGACATTTAATGTAAAAGTTCCAGCAAAAAGTTTGTTAAAATTTGGAGGCTGCCACTAAGAAAATAGCTGGGGTCATGCTTATACATGTAGAAGCCAGAGGAAATACCCCACCCCTGGCCCTTAGTGACACCCATAGAATTTGGTTGGGTTATTTCCACAAGTGAAAAGGGGCAGGCCATGGAAGGCAACATGCATTTAGTTTTTTTTTCAGCAGTGGTGCTCAAGGTACTCTCATTACCAGATGGTCTTGACTGCATCCCAGTCATTTTTGGTGACAAGAAAATTAACCTTCTCTGGTCTGTGTTTGTGTAACAGTATAATCTAAAAAAAGGAAAAAACAACATGAAGCTCAACAGCAGTTATAACTACCCTTATTAAATGAGCAAAAAGTAAAATATGTTTTAAAGCCCAACTGAAATCCTGCTAACCTTAAAAGAATTTATAGCTGTCCTTCAGTTAAAATTACCTGACAGCCTGCTTCTTGAAGGGATTTTCCTTTCCTTATGGTATCGTCAACTGTTTGCCGACTAAAAGGAAGCTTACAAAGAAGAGGTGTTTCGCACACTTGGTAGATTTGGTGGATGCAGCTAAGCCATGATTTCCATCTTTCATCTTCATCTGTTGAGCACGAATTAGAACTGGAGCTGAAGTCAGTGATGTCAACAGCATCACAAATGTTTCTTAGTTCCTTCACTGCTTGCACAATACTGTCCATATTCCCTGGTTGCAGCTGACACAAAATGATTAATTAGTTATTACTCAGCATAGTTAAGCCTGAATTTACTGATTTCCTTAACATTAAATATACAGTTTTTTCAATCTCCCAATAATTTAAATAAAAGCTAACCTCAGCTCCCTTTCTTTGGAGCAGTGGTGAGAGCACTCGCCTCCCAGCAGTGTTGGAGTTTGTTGTTACTTCTGTCCCTTGTTCTGAGAGGTTTTTCTCCAGGTACTCGGAATTAATATTAATTGACTCCTTGTCAAGCACAGTTTTTTTACCTCTGATTTTTCGAAATTTCCTGGGCACTTGGTTGATTTCTGTGTGGGGTGGGGTGGGATGGTTTTGATAAGTTGAAGTGGGTGGCATCGGAGGAAGGGGGGTAAGTACAATGTACTGCATAATGCAGGTATCAATGTGTGGACGAGGAGCTGCATTATTTTGATATATATATATATATATATACATATTTTTCCCATTTTTTTGGGTCATATTTCAGACCCTTGGGCCTGGAGAGAGAAAAGAGTTCAAATGTGATAAAATATCCTGGCGGGACAAAAGAAGTGTTCAAACGCTGCACCTATGCCCGTACCAACCCCCCCCCCCAACCCCCCTCCCCCCCAATCCGTTATTAGGGAGCTTAAGCAACGACGTTTTTGAGCGACGCACGTCAACCGGAAGTTGCCCTTTTTCATTTTTGGGCGATGGCTTTGCCCAAATTTTCAGTCAAATCGTCTCTATAAGAGTAAAGAAACTAAGCAATACAAATTACATAGCATCAAGGCAAATTACAAGGGAAAAGTCCTCCTTTCCGGTTGACGTCCGTTGCTCAAAAACGTCTTTGCTTAAGCTCCCTAATAACATTACAAAACATAACATAAAACTTTATTTATACTCGAATTTTAGAGTAGCTAACAAGCTAATATCTTCGAACATTGATATAGGTACATAAGGAGATCTAGAATTACATCCCCAAATTGGTATCTTTGTACAACATGCCACTGTAGAAACCTAAAAAAACACCACCATAAATGTTACTGTGTCTTACCTGGACGATTAAAGGACGATCAGCATGCCCCTTTGTTGCGCTCCCGATTAGATTGTTTGTATTTCCAACACAGTCCACCGCTGTTACAGAACGTGTAAAGCAGAGATGAACACCTAAATTCCTCAAAAGTATCCTCCAAGATAGATCTTCTAAATTGGAAAACGGTGATGCAATATACCGGCAGTTAGAAAGAAACTTTAACGTTGACATATTGAAAGGAAAACTCAAAGAGATTATTGATCACAATTTTGATTTGCCACCAAGCTTTCGCCGCCATTTTGCTGTTTTCCGTCCCAGTTTCCCTTGACCTCTCTCTCTCTAGGCCTGGTAAGGAACAGCAACAGACGACAGGAAAACCTCCGGAAACCTCCCCGCCATATTTCAGATTTCTTTATTTACTGTTTTGTCTACCTAATTTTCAAGGTTAATTTCTGAATAAGAGGAACTATTTTTAATTCAAGATAACTTCCCTAGTAAGATATGAAGTTTACAGAGCATCTGAGTGCTCATTTAACCCCAGAATGGCGGAGTCAATACATCCGATATGAGGTAAGCTTGAAGCTACTTCAAAAATCTTGTGTATTTCAAGCTTTATTCTTGTGTAAAATTGTTGTTATGGGTTCGGCTTTGTGCCGTCTTAGCTTTTGTATTTTTGTCTATAAATATAATTTAGGGTTAGCAGTTCCTGTTTCAGGAAAATTGTTTTTACCCTAGCCTTGCTACAATCTCGTGCCGGTAATATCCTTGCACCTTTAATAAAGCTTGATATTATCATGTGATTTTGTTTTTTTTTTTTATAATCCGCAGCAACTCAAAGAAGTGTTGTATGATGGCCTAGACAAGATGCCATTAAAGGATGGTAAGAAATAACTTCAGTTTTTTGTTTGTGCATGTGGCTTTAGTGTAGAAGGTGTTTGTTCTTAATTAAATTATGTATGTACATAAGCTTAAATACTCCTGTAGACCCTGTGTACACAATGTTGCCCCTCGTCTAGACGGGGAGCAACATTTACAGAAATACGTAGTAATGCATACCTGCAAAATTTTCCATAGTCGAATATGTGAAAGCCTAATCTCCAAAGAAATGATAACCCAGATTTCTGACATCATTTCCTCAAAAATAATGTTATTTACATCAGAACATTACTGATTGTTTACCCATCTGATGACATATCTGTTGATTACTGAGAGTGTCTGAAACCTCTGAAACTTTAAGATGGATATACTATGTTTTTCCTTGTACTGTTTCCGTGTACTATTACTAGTTAGAATATAATTTTTGGTGTCTATATAGAGGCCAAGTAAACAAATGTTAAATTGTTGACCCATAGTTCCTATGAATATTTATGTACACAGCAACTAAATAACAAATGATAAAGCAAATTCTTGTAAGTTATAGAACAAGTACACACACAACTAAAAAAACTAAAGGAGAGAAAAAAAAGAAAAAACAAAATAAAAGGAATTGAAAGTGAATCAAGTGGATAATAGATAACAGTAATGAAGCATATAGTTTATAATAATAGTCTATTTATTTTGATTACTTAATGTCAATTTTAGGCAGCCTAATGAGCATTTGAAATGTTCATAAATGCTTGATAAAGTAAAATTTAGCCCAGGATTCAGAGACACATCTGTCATGACCAAAGCCAGGTGTCTTAACATTGATGTGTGATTACACTGTAGTTGTTCATGCATTTAGAAAACGTGGGACTTGTAAATCTTGCTGTCTCAGACTTTTGAACTTTTCCCAGCGTGCAAAGAAAGTTGTGTCCAATAGCCCGGAGCTAGTGGATTTTGCTATCGAGTCTAGTGATTTTTGTTCTTAAATTGCTGGATGGGCAAGTGCTGTTTTTGGGGGAAATTCAAATAACAGAAGGTTTGTAATCAATCCTTCTAATCAAAAAGGGTTTGGGGGCTAGTAAAATGACTTATGAAATGCGTCTTTAATAAGATGCAAACTTTCCATATAAACGGCACATTTCATCTAAGATAAGACGCACCTTAGCTAAGCCGGGTCCTATTTTAGAACAGCCCTAAACACTTGTTCTTAGATAAGATGCGTCTTAGCCAAGACAAGAAAAACTTCATCTAAATGACCTTTGTGTCTTACATAAGACGCATAGTACTCACGCGTAAATTTTTGGTGCGCCATGTTGGATTGCTGTTGCTATGGGTAACATTCACATGAAAACGAGTCAAGAACAGAAATAAGACACAAACCATTTATATGAGCTGTTCTCATCTTAGATAAGACATGCTCATAAAAATGGTACAGCTCTCGTCTTATTTAAGACACATCTTATGTAAGACTCGTCATATTTTTCCTGGTATAAATGGCCCTAATACATGTGTAATACTCTGTAACTATATGACTGGTTATTATGTACCTACACTGTAGTGGCACTGATACACTGAACAGCAGTCACTGGAAAGAAAATTAAAGACAGGAAAAGACACTTGAGCAAATTACAAGCCCACCAAAAGGAAAAGAGAGCTTAAGAGTAACCAGCGAAAAAATTGTTCTGCCGGGTGTACGAAATTGGTAGGCAGGCTTGAGAATGAAGTTTTTGACCTGCAGTTATTAAAGCCGTGCCGAAATTAACGCTGATGAGATTAAGTTGGAAGCTCGACATGTTAGTTCTCTCACCTTGTCTCACCTTATTAACTTTGCCTTAATAATGCATTATGAAGTGAATGAACGCCTGACATTGAGTCAGTTCTTTTTTTTTTTTTCACAGAAAACCCTGACTCAGTTGTGCAGAGTTATTTCTCCAAGTTTGAGGAGCAGTGGTTTAGCTACTGTAATGAGGAACTAGAAAAAATAAATACATTCTTTGCAGGTACATTTCAATTTTCTGCCACGGTTGAAGTATCCCACATTCTTTAAGAAGCCCAGGCTTTTCTTTTTATGGGGAATCTCATCAAGCAAAAAAGTTTTAGGCAACTCTCCTTTCTCGCCCAGACATAATGTATGCTGTACAGATCAATTTTACAAGGAAATATAGAAAGAAAAATAAGATTATGGTACTAGCAACATTATTACCTTTTATATAGAAAATGAGAGAGGTCCCAGATAAGAAGTAAACTTCTCAGTTGAAAGTGATTATCCTTTTATAAAATGTTTCATCTTCTAGGAGATATGATGTTACTGACATATTTTTTTGCCAATAAATACACTGGGGATACAGTCTCACATGAGGACCAGCTTATTAGTATTTTTGCTGGTTTCACTCTAATACAGCAAATGTATGTCATCAAAAATCCAAATCCAAATCATTCAATCAGTAAAGCTTAGAATCTGGGAAATGTAAGAAGATAAAATGTAAATAACCGAACATTCTTGGTAAGGCTCAGATCGATGCGATTTTTCATAATGTGAGTTACACAGAGAAAACTGTTCTATCCAGCAGATTTACTTGTTTGGAGCAAGAAGTCATTTTGGTGTCCGATCCCTTTAAGGGACACCAACATACAATGTCATGTACATGTAGTAGCAGGAAATGACCAAACATCTGTCACTAAGTTTACAGTTGTGTGTTCCAAAAGTTTCAGTTTTATTTTGTGGTCATTGTCAACAGAAAAAATTGCTGAGGCTGGTCGTAAGTTTACAACTCTTAAAAATGAACTGTATGTGGCTGGATCCCTCAAGGTGGGTCCTAGTTTAAACACATTAGCCACTTCAAAGAAGATGACTCTGGTACCTAAACCAAGTGACAAGGTCAAGGCAAAGACAAAGAAGAAAGCTTCTGAGCTAAAGTTTGCATTTGGAGAGTTTTATCTCAGCTTGGTTCTTCTACAGAATTATCAGGTACTTTCATCTTAATGTACCATGGAGCTCATCTATAGCTTTCTTTAGTATTGTTGTTATTTGTAAGTGGTTTAGGGTGATGGATTTCAATACGATTTCCCCACTGGCTAAATCCTCATTGACCACTAGCTGGAGTTACAATACAGTGTATTTATCAACTCTTCCAAATACGCCTCTAGAGTTATTTGCATCAAGAGCTGTCCTCCTTAGTCTGGAGTTCAACTGACCTTTAAGCCATGTTTCTTAAGAAAAACCAACTGGTAGAGCCGTGTACCTGTTGGGATTAAAAACCTATCTTACATGTCATACAAAAATTATGTATAATTAATGTCTTAATTTAATTTGACATTAAAATTTTTGTTTCATGAACCCATGTATGATTGTATTTTGATAAATGTTTGTGACAGAGGTTGGGATAAATGACACCATGGATATAGTTCAGAAACATACATGTAAAATGTTGATTTAAAGTTTCCTGCAGTCATGAAATTTTACTTTAGTTGAATTATTGTGATGGGAGCCCAAGAAATGAGAACTCACTTGTTGGCTAGTGTAGGCCTTTGCATTCATTTATTTTTTGTTATTTTTGTTTCAGCAACTTAACTTTACTGGATTTAGAAAAATTCTCAAGAAACATGATAAGGTATAGAAAATTTTAGTGAATCCCAGTTTTTTGCCATATGCAGTGTACTGTAAGAACAAGGAACTTTTATAGGGAAAGCCATCATTTTAGCCATTCATTCAAAATGGTTTAATTTAATAAAATAATAATTATGGTATTGATGTTCAAGTGCATCAGGAATATTGATTCATGGAACCCTACTTACAGTGTACTTTATACAATCAAATGTAAATACATGTAACAGTTACATTGTGCTGGCTTAATTGTTGTTTAAAAATGTTGATTGACTAGATTTTGCTGTTACTGTGTGACTTCTCAAACCGGGGCACTTGGAAGAAGATTATTCAATCACAGCTTTTTTTGAAAACAAAAAATTCTCAAGATTTTTTCACAAATGGACCGATACCATTCATTAATTCATTAATTTGAGGGCTGTTTCCTGAGTGGTCAGGTAAGTTCAAATGGTTTTTTAAAAAGTTTTCATTGTTGAACCTGAATTTTTTTGGTCTGTTTGCAAAAAAAAAAAACTTGAGAATCTTTTGTTTTCAAAAAATGTTGTGATTGGATAATCTTTTTACAAGTACCCCAGTTTGAGTAGTCACACTGTAACATCAAGCAAATAGGACACATCTACATACACCTTTCATTTAACACGTTTCTGATCTACATGTAAACATAAACTTGCAGGTACTTGAGACAACGAATGGTGCTCAATACAGGCAAGAGATGATAGAAACAGCCGATTTTTTCACTAATAAACATGTTGGTGAACTCATTCTAGACACTGAGGTGTGTTGAATCTTGTAAATGTAAATGTTGATCAATGTAAATAATAATATCATCCTCTCCTCTAGTGGTTCTTTACTTCTCACACAGTGAGAAGTGTATTAGAAGCTATCATTGTTTCTTATCCTTATCCAAGAAGACTAGAAGGTACATCTTACTGGGAACACCATTTGTAGTTGTTAGGAAGAATAAAGGCATTGCTTTCTCCTCAGTTATTTAAAGCCCCTTGAAGTGTTAGTCAGGCGGAGAATTGACCCAAGCTCGATTCTCCACAGTCTCGTATCCATCCATTATTGAACTAACTAGTGATAATGATTTTCTTAGATTTTATGACATTGATAGCAGAGCTCTTGAACTTGAAGTGTGCCGCAGAGCACCATATGTATTAAAATTTGGTTATGTATGCATCCAAGAAATTTTGGTTGTGTGATATCGTCTGTCCATGCATATGTTGTAGTCAATTTTTTATCTCAGGTAATTTTTGTTTTTCTTTTGTTTCTGCGTATAGTAATGTATTCTAAAGAGGTTGAAACAAAAGAAAAAGAAGAATTACTTGAGATAAAAAATTAACTACAAACATACACCCGTCTGTATATATTTCCTAATATTCGCCCTGTCATGGAAGCAGATGTAAATGTCACCCTAATACTTAAATGTTGTTGTCAATTGACAGTTTTCCAAACAGGGTATCCACTGACCAGTATGACATGACTGTGTTGCAGGCTCACGTGTACAGTTTATCGAGATGATGTTTTTTACTTATTCCACTGAGCAGTTATTTGTTTCAATAATAATGATTGCACGCTCAGGTCCATTTTTTTAGAAGGACTTCAGTTTGTCTCTTGTTTAGTAGAAAATTTTGTTTGAATTACCTCAGAAAGACTTTCCTAAAGAATCCCATAAGGGCTTCGCTTTTGCCTTGGCTATATTTATTGAATTATTATGCTCAGTGCACCCTTATCCAAGTTCTGGTAACCTCTAGTGATCTCTAGTAAGTCATTGCTAGCCCAATCTTGATCTTTTCCTTTGCCATTTTTATTGATAATTCTTTTGTCTTCACATTTTTAGGATTTGTACATCACAGAACTTGAGGGTGGGAACCGCTCAAAAGCCATGAATAGACTACGAGTTCCTCCACTTCAAGAAGAACAAGTAAGTTTGAAAAACTCACTGAATTTATTTGTGTTAATTTGACATAATGTGACTGTGAGATGCAGTCTTTATGCCGGCCTGCAAATGACCTGCTCATCACTAGATCACGAGAGTTCTTAGTAGCTCTGTCAGTGGTTCTGAGAGCAAGCATCCCACTAGTGTCTGGAAAGTCATGAGTCCAATTCCCATGTAGAATTTTTTTCTGAGTTCTTCTCTCCACACATATCATTCTACTTATTATGAATTTGTTGTTGTTGTTGTTGACAGCGAGGAGACTGGGTGTCCTGTAGAGCTGGATTTTACGCTGGACTTTTTGTCATGCTGGTTTCAATTGCCACAGTTGCTGGTAGGTTGTGATCCTCATCATTGTTTTCTGTTAACAAAGGAGGGTGTGTAGAAATAGGGCAGCTTGAAAGCTGATGTGGACCTGATATACATGTAGAAATAAACACTGTCATAGATTTACACATTTTTAACTTAATTAAGTAAGCTGCACAATAATTGGGAACTACATCGTTTCCCAGTTTTGCATTTTTCTTTTTTTCTACTTGAATCTTCCTTTTTTTTTTCATTTTTGGTTTGTGAGGAATATCTTGTTTTTTTCCATCAACAGTAATCTAGTCCTCGTTTATTTTATTTAAAAAACTTACTATGTCCTCAATTTCTATAATCTGTAGAACTAAGCCATTCAATTTACTGTTAAAGAGATTTTTCCTTAGCTCAAGAATTTCGGCAACAGTTGCTCCAGAGACTAATACTTCGCTTTGCTTACGGACGATTACTTTGTTTTATCTTCCAGCTTTCTTTACAGATCACAGTGGCGAGTTTGATATCGCTATTCGTATTTACCGTGGTATTTTCCTTTTTGTGCTGGTGACGTTTCTTTTAGCTCTTAACACGTACGGCTGGCGGAAAGCAGGTGTCAATCACGTGCTCATATTTGAACTTGATCCACGTGATCATCTCAGTTACCAACAGTTACTAGAGGTAAATTAACAAAAATTGAAACCCGGAACTAGGTTGAACTTTTTAGCTAGTTATTTCATTATATTAAGGCCAAAACCAACTGGTTCGTCGTTGCAGTTCACAAAAAGCAACATTCAGTTACGTGTCAAAGCAACGTCTCATTTTCCTTTATAGCTGGCTCGATAAAAAAACTTACCTTGATTTAAGGTGGCTCAACGTATTAGTTGTGCAGAATGTTTCATCGCTTTTGTCTAACAGATGACAAATTCAACAACCTTGTTCTCTGACCTTCCTGTGATCGTTTCGTGTTTTGCTGTTTTCAGTTTGCCATTCGTTTTACATAGCGACTTTGGTTAGCAGCGTGCAAAGAAAGTACTGTCCGATAGCCCGGGGCTAGTGGATTTTGCTGTCGGGCTAGAGAATTCTGTTTTTAACTTGCCCGACGGGCAAGTGATGTTTTATGAGGAATTTGAATAACAGAAGAACAAAACGTTTTTGGGGCTAGTTGAAATGACGTCTGGGCTAGTAAGTGCTAGCTTCAGCTTGCCCGAAGGGCAAGCTGTAAAAATGATTTTCTTTGCACCCTGGTTAGGCTATGAGGGACTTTAAGATCCAACGACACGGACGGCAACGAGAACGTCAAAAAAAACAAAAGGTTTAATAAGCAAAACAACAACTTTGCACGTGCATCACGCTTTTTTGCACATTTCCTTCCTGTTTTTGCACGACTTCGACGTGAAAATGCCTAATTTCGCGTTTTAAGGAGGACATAAACAAGCAACGATGAAATTTTATTGCTCTTTCTGAGTTGAATATGGTCACTTGAAATTCAGCGTCAGGAGGGTTTGCCTACATTTGACAAAGTAAGTGGGTAGGAATAATTGCTGTTAAGACTAAAGACACTGAAAGAACGTAAATTCACTTTTTAAGCGACGTTCTCGTTGCCGTCGCGTTGTTGGATCTTAGGAAACCGCGGACAGCACGCAAAGAGCTAGCGCCTGGACGTACAGACCTACAATGGAGTAACAACTAAAACTTTTTTGGTTATCAGATTTTCCAAGACATACAGTAGGGTTCCGCTCGCGTGCACTTTCAGAGCATTGCCATAGATAGTTAATCTTAATGATAATGATCTTAAGTACTATTTAACCTTTAAGTCCCAGTCGTGACCAAGATCAATTTTCTCCTAACAATATCAATACACTGTCAAGAGATAAGTTATGAGAATTAATAATATGATCAACTAAGAGAAAGTGCCTTGATCTATTATCAAATTCTCTTAGCCAATTCTTTAAGGAAATGTATGGAGATCAGTTTGGAGAATTTGTATGTGGATACTGGCGCTTAAAGGGTTAAACAGGTACTAACTACTTCTACCCATTTCATTTTCCATCTCAGGTTGCCTTGTTACTGGCTGTGCTGTGGGCCCTCAGTCTAGTAGTGTTTATGTTTAGTCACGTGTTAGGTATAGGATCATACTCTCCCAATTTGGTGTTGGTGTCTTTCCTATTCGTGTTCACTTTTAATCCTTTCAAGATATGTTATTACAGAGCACGCGTTTGGCTTCTAAGAGTTTTGGTAAGTGTACTTTACTGCTTATGTAGCTTGCGAATATGCCCTACCTCCATGTTTTTCATTAGGCTCACTGGAATCGAACATGTCTGTCGTTGTTCTTACATTTTTGTAATGTCATGATCAGTTTCACACATGCAACAGTGTTCATGTGAGCGTCTATGTGCATCCAAATAGAAGGTGATTCTCAACCTACTCAAATAAATTACAAAGAGTCCAGAAGGGATCAGAAACTGCTGGGGTACATGTTGTGTGTGTAGTGTAGTGTCCATGGTAATACGTGGTTGTAACTAAAGATGAGTTCAGACACCGTCTAAAACTACCTTACAGACTGAAAATCTAGTTGATATAGTTCTGCAACTCGTGGATATTCTGCTGCCCTCATAACGGCTTAAAACATGCTTTGTTTTCGTATTTCTTTTTTTTTCAGTTTCGTATCTTGACGGCTCCCTTTCAACATGTAGGATTTGCTGATTTCTGGTTGGCTGATCAACTCAATAGCTTAGCAGTAGCCCTGCTGGATCTACAGTTTATCATCTGTTTCTATGCATATGACTGGCACGTGAATAATCGTAAGTTTAGGATATTTTGATTTCTGGTTGCCTGGTCAACTCAGTAGCTTAACAGTAGCGTTACTTGACCTGCAGTTTATCATCTGGTTCCTTTTGCATGTTTATGACCGTAATATTTGCGGGTAAAGCGAGTAATAACACGATTCTTATGTCCTTATACTTATTTCAGTTCGCAATCTTCCCTTCCTTTTCAAGCTGAGTTACAACGCATCCTTGCAACCACGCCTTTGCGGTAAAAAACGTTTGACTGTCAAGGTGTTCACAACGTATTCTCACAACACTCTTGTGAGGGTTGAGATGGTATTAAATAATCCGTTAAACCACTTGTAACTTTGTCAAGAAATTGTCTCTCACAGCAAATGTTCTACTCGCGCATTTGCAGTGTAACTAATTTATTTTTTTTGTTTAAATTAACTTAAAATGTGTTCATTTTATTGACAACGAAGATTTAAACAATTTTTTGATGTTGTCGTTTCTTCGTGGTTACTGCTCTATCTTACCAAGATAAAACTTGAAGTCGACCTGACAGCACCATGTTGTTGTTTTTTCTTTGCAGCTAGTGAAATGATCTGTGATGGTACGTTATACGGTATTCGACCTTTTGTAGCCTGCCTTCCTGCCTGGTTTAGGTTTGCTCAGTGTTTAAGGCGTTACAAGGACACAAGACAAGCTTTTCCTCATCTAGTAAACGCTGGCAAATATTCTACAGCTTTCTTTGTGGTTGTATTTTCTACTCTAGGTAAGAATTCATTGATACAGAAGTTGGCGTTTCACAGAGAGGGAGTAGTGAATTACCAGCTGCATGTGAAGTTTATTTTCCCGCCTTTTTTATGCTCGCACTTTCTTCCCTTTTGCTGTTATCAATGGCGTTTTTTATCTTTCAAGCAATTCCGTTATGAAACCTAGATTGTTTACTTTATCAAAATTAACTTCTTCTCATCCACTTTAGCTAAAATTTTGCTAGCATTTGACGGTAAAATAGGAAAGAGAAACGCCAATATTTCATCGGATTCCGGTGCAGGCTTTTATGGAACAGCTGTTATGAAGCCAGCGTGGCCGAGCGGTTAGAGCGGTGTACTTGTAATCCGGAGACCTCGAGTTCAAGTCCTGTCCTGACCGCTAGCCGGGGTGAGCAGGATTTGTTGCCCACGCTTGTTAATAGCCATCGGGGCTGGGTCGTTCAAAGTTGGGTTAAGATAACCCAGGATTAGTGCGAAATTTTATTTCAGAGATGAAAGCTTAAAGAGCAAATTCACTTTATAATTCTTCTTGTCGGCAAATTGATGATTAGATGTTGTAAAAAGAAAGGAGAAAATTATCCGAGAAAGTGCTTTTGAGGCCCCCTCCAAATATAAGCCCCTTGATCCCTCGGAGGTTACTGTACGCTTTCAAAACAAAACGTTTGGTTAGGCAACAGAGAATTTTGTTTGTTTGCTTCAGCTAAATCTGATTCTGTGCAGCGCGATCGTTTCTTCTTGGCCTGGATTATTGCTGCTTTTATCAGTACATGTTATACTCTTACCTGGGATATTAAGATGGACTGGGGACTACTGGACAAGAACGCTACTGGCGAAAATAGATTCCTAAGGGAGGAGACGGTGTACAGATCCAAGGTGAGACTGCTTTCGTGCACCATCCAGGAGGGGTTTGGTTGTAATTGCGGTCGTGAGTATTGAAAGGAGCTGTGCCAGGAAATGTATAAAAAATTCAAACAGTAAGAGCTAGCTGTCACCAAAATGAGTGAAACATCAAAATAGCAGCTCAAAGCATTAAAAGAAGGTATAACTAACACAACAAATATAATAGAAGGCACGGATTGACAAACATGATAGCCTGCGAATACAGCCGTTTCTCTTGCTGCTCACCGCTAAGGACGTTTCACCCGGCGAAACGTCCCTGGCTGCGAGGAACTAGGAGAAACAGCTGTATTCGTCTGCTACAAATATGAAGGCGATTTAAACTGATTAAATTGGGGTTTTTGAAAACTTGTCAGCCAAAACAGTTTTTCAGAGCGATTCATTTTTGTCGCTTGTAACGTTTGATGACGTTTTGGGAGAAATATTTGTGTTAATTAATTATACGAAGCTGTGAATTCGTCTTTTACAGGTAGATTCCTCGCTAACGTTGAGTTCTTTACCGCATAAAGACGCGTTATTTAGCAATTAATGAATGAGGCTGAGGAGGATATGAAGAATTAAGCAGATCGAGGAGGGTGTTATCCACCTCGGCCGATAACACCCTCCTCGATCTGCTTAATTCTTCATATCCTACTCAGCCTCATCCTCGGAGACTCAGGGGCAGATAGTGGGGGCGAGGGAAAGTCTAAACGGGCGGGAAAATATGGCACGAAGAAAACTAAAGAACGGCGAGAAGAGCCCCTGGGGACAATGTCTTACCAGACCAGTTCAAAAAGGTCGCCGCCATTCTGGCTTCTGATTGGGCAGAAAAACACAAAAGTTTTCTGGCACCAATCAGCAGCCAGAACGGCTGTGACCGTTTTCAACTGGTCTGGTAAGACATTGTCCCCAGGGGCTCTTCTCGCCGTTCTTTAGTTTTCTTCTTGCCATATTTTTCCGCCCGTTTAGACTTTCCCTCGCCCCCACTATCTGCCCCTGGGTCTCCGAGGATGACTCAGCCTCATTTATAATTAATTGCTAATTATTATTCATTCAAAATATTTGGCTAAAAGAACACGCATAATTCACCATAACCAGTTACTGATGACCAAATTTGGAAGAATTTTGTGTTTAACGAGGAAATGACGTCAAAAATGCAGCCTTCTACAGGTTAATGCACCGTTAACCGAGATCCGGCTCTTGTGAAGTTCGATGTGTGACAACGGTCCACGGGCCTGTTTGTTTGAGATGAACCAGCCCGGTCAGCCGGGCTGGCTCGGCTCATGCCATGTTTTCTTTTAAAATTTTCGTTGTGTTGAAGGCGGACTGGCCCGCTTGCCGAGAACTTGGCTTGAGCAACCGGAATCTCGAAAAGCGAGCAGTGCATGAGCCGATCCAGCCCGGGCGTGGCTCACCTCGTATAAACAGGCCCTACGATTGTATTGACGCATGACACATGACTCATTCTCAACCAATCGGAAAACGCGCCATGCCATGTATTTGCAGTTTTGAAGGAGCAGTTGATGCGGTCACTTTCCAATTGGTTTTTGTCTGGACTGATCTTCACCATTTGTCTCCCTTCCCTCTTACGCTTTATGTGCTTGCCCTTATTTATTACACCGTCTGCCACACCTTTTAAGGTTTCAATGTTTCTTTGTTTTTTCTTTCAGGCATTTTACTACTTTGCCATGGTGGAAGATTTAATATTCAGACTGTTATGGACGCTCACGGTTTCTGTAGGACAACTGGAAATATTCCACTCTGAACTTCTTAAACTGATTTTGTCAATGTGTGAGGTATTTAGGTAAGCGGCTTATGATTTAAGGCAAAACAATTGTTAGTACACTGTACTTAAAAGTATAGGACTCAAGAACTCTGTTGTTTTACCAAAGGATTCCACAAGACTATGCAGTACGTTTTGTCTAATTATCATCGATATATCTTGGATAAAAAATGAAAATTATAATACAGTTCGGCGGCTTCACCCCGAGACGATTCGCGACGACGATTTTTAGCGCAACACAGCGTTGTAACATTGCAACACTGACGCGGCTTTTTGCCTTTAACAGTGACGTGTCAATACCACCATTTTTGTGGGACAGAAACAGTCCATGTAACCGTTGTATTTAAAGAAAACCCCTTAAACTTCAGTTGAAGTCCCCGTACATTTATAAGGAAGCTTGAGCACTGATGATGACGGCAAGTGAGCGAAAACATTCCTTAAAAGTTTTAATTCGCGCTGTTTGAAACTTTATCGCTATTATATTAATGCATCTCAATTAATTTCTCATGATCAAATACTCGAATTTTCCAAAGGTGAGAAAATGAAAAATGAAAATGGTTGTTGCATTCGTGTTAGCGCAAAATAAGAAAATTTAGCGCCGTTGTTGTGCAGCGACAGCAAAGAAATGAACCAAAATGTGTAGCTGTTCCCATAGCCCTTTGCCGTGAGGAGTAGCCTCCTACACAGGCGTTTGTGGGGAAGGGAGGAAATACGACTCCCCCACGACTACGTCAAGAGCTTCAGGGAGTGTTCTTTAATACTTAACTGATTCTAGGTTTGCCCATTTTTACTGTTTTCCTCCTGTTTTTAGACGTTTTATCTGGAATTTTTTCCGACTCGAAAATGAGCACCTCAACAACTGTGGTCAGTTCAGGGCAGTGCGTGACATCTCTGTGGTTCCCATGGAAACGCATGACGAGGTGTATCTGGAACAACTGATGGATGACGTAAATGGCCTGGCGCTATCGAAACGGAAGTTAAACCGCCGAAGGAAATCCTCAGTAGTCGTTAAATCTTTGCGCAAAATTTCCTCCCACACTGATGGTGTAAGGGCGAACACGAACATAGTCATTGAAAATGAGACGGAAACACGCGTTTAACGTTGACAAACCTACAGTTTCGAATCAATATGTTATCCATTCATATCGTGATTTCAAATACAATATTGCGGACCATATAAAGCAAAGGGCAATTTGGCCGGATGAATGAATCCATCGTAAAGCTATAATCATTCTATCATAACAACAGCTATTGTTGAAAAATATTACGTGGCTCTGGGCCCGGTTCCTCGAAAGATGTTAAGTTTAACCCAGGATTAAGCCAAATTTTAAGCAAGGTTTTCCCGTTTAAGAACATTTAACTCGAGCGTACAAAATACTGTCGAGCCTATACTCCAACATACAGAAATGATAATACAAAATGTTACTCTAAGCAATGCATAGGTCGGTGAAAAACAAAAAGGGAACAAAATTTTAATCCTGGATTAGCGTTAATCGGCCTTCCAGGAACCGGGCACTGGTTAGTAAGCGTTCTCAAATCCGTCCGAACGGGCTCTAGGTCCACAATACTCGAGGTGTTTGACTCATAACAGTCCATAATTACAAATCATTTTAGGTCATATCAAGAGTAATATATTTGGTAGCGAAAGAAAATTGACGAATACAGATAATCAAAAATAGTTTCTTTTAATTTAATAGAACTTGTGACATTCTGTACATAATTTATTGTACAAAAAGACCCACTTTTTACAAATACGTTATGATGTACAATATTGAGAAAAGAAATAATAGTATTTAATTTTTTTTAAAAGAGAGAATAAAAAGACGATTTTAATTTCACACTTCTGATGTCAACAAATACGTCTTACAATATCTTGCTGCAGTCTTTTAAAAAATTATACCCGAGGATTCAAATACCATTTTTGTCTGATTTTCCTGACCAAATCAGCGAAGTGAAAAGCGCGTACCCAAGACCCAAAAGGGTGGAGATTTCGTGACTTGGGAAATATTGGAATTGATCAGTACGAATAGGTCATTTTTCATCAGGCTGATTTTGACTCTCCAAGTTGAATACCTCGCCCCATTCTTGTATGAACGACTGCAAAGAAATTGTAAATATTTTAAAACCAATATTTGCGTCCTCAGCTTTTGATTATCGCATTCGTCCCTGGGTATTTTGATCGGCTAGGTAGGTAGGTAGGTAGGTAAGGTGTAGCCTTCCTAAGTTAAGACCGGGCGGAAAGGAAAGCAAAAGTTCGAGACAATATCTCGACTGTCACCTTTCGCAAGCTGTCCTTTCCGCTTTTTTCCCCCCTTTTGTTGTGTTTTGTTGCTTTGCTCGTCTTCTTTTTCTGCTGGGTATTTACTAGACGTAACTTCGGTATATCAGAAAGGATCGCGAAATTAATGGTTAGTCCTCTACACGTTGTGATAATCACCCACCTGATGCAGTTTAGGTAGAACCGGTGGATCTTGTTTCAAAAGAGCATTGCGCAGGAACACCATGTAATAGACTGTCCACTGGAAAGCTGTGGCCTTGTCCATGTTGGGATCCATACGTGGTATTACTGCTTTGAAAAATTCTGCTGCTTTGGTTATGCGTATCCTATAGGCAGAAAAAAATGTAAACATACGTTGAAGTCTGCTTCACAGGCGCACACTCTGGATGTCAGAAAAACGAGGAATGGAAGAAGAAATTGCTACGTCAAACCCGTTCCCTGGGCTTTTCCTTTAGAAAATAGAAGAATCTTATTTGTACCCTTCCCGTTTTTCTAAGGCAAAAGCTCTTGGAGGAGGTTTTTGCTACGCTGGACTACGGACATGGAAGACTCAGACCTTGTCGACGATTTTTTTGACAGGCCTAACTCCTACGCCTTGAAAACGACACGGGTTTAAAACAGTGTTCGTTAGATGCCCCTGAAAAAATACAGATGACAACTGGCTACGAGTATGAGCTTACATTTTTCAAGTTTCCAATCGATCAGCATGAAACATGTTTTAGTGACCAACTTGGAAATATAAAAGCAATTTATTACTAAACTGCAAGTGGCGAGGTTTTAAAATGAACCCCTCAGGGTCAAAGACAAAGCTGACCTTCTATGCCTCTCCTTGGAATTGTGCCTATCCACTGGGTTGGCATTAGGATCGTCCGCTAAAGGTTCTCTGTAGCTGTCAAGTTCCAGGAAATATGGCTTCTTTCCTGTCAAGCTCACAGATATTGGACTCTTGGTATCGCTTGGTGAATCTAAATCTGTTTCTGATGTTGCCGTTTTTGCACTCTTCAGACTTTCCGCAGCAGGCGATCGCCGAGTTCTTTTCTTTATCCTGAGGTCTCTAAAGAGAAACATTACTGGTTAACAATTTACAGCAAATTAGACTAGAGATCTTTAGATTATAAGACGAGAACGACTACCGGAACGAGATTTTCTCCATACTAAAGGCTGGTTTTCACTAGCGACGGAGTCGGAGTCGGAGTCGTAAGAGCGCTTATGACCTAGTGAAAATCAAAAATCGGAGTCGTACCGGAGTCATAAGCGCGACGAAATCGGAGTCAGAAGAATCAGAACGTTTCCATTTTCTTCCGACTCCGCTTACGATTCCATCGCTTACGCTTATGATCTAGTGAAAACCAGATTGTCGGAGTCGGAAGCGGAAGCAGAAGCGGAAGGATAAGCCAATCAGAATGTACGTTCCCACGCTTTGTGATTGGTTTGGTTCTTCTGCTTCTGCTTCCGACAATCTGGTGTTCACTAGATCATAAGCGGAACGTAAGCGACGGAGTCGTAGGCGGAATTGGAACGCTGTTTTCACTAGATCATAAGCTCTACGCTTCTGATTACGACTCCGACTCCGACTCCGTCGCTAGTGAAAACCAGCCTTTAGTAGTACGCGCTCGCGAACCATCGTCATTTTGGCGCTAAAACGTGAGAGCCGTCGTCATTCTTCTACCACGGTTTTTTGGTGAAAATGTCGTAGTGACGGAAAAAAGTAATCAAATGTTAGAAGTTTCATCATTTCAAGATCGGCAGAGGGCTTATAATTAAACACCTAGAGTAGAATGGTGTTTGAAATGACCACTAAATGTTACATAAAGAATCAAAACAGCTGATAGAGAGCGTCCTTCCTTCAACAACTTTCTAACAATCCAAAATTCCGTGGAGAGAAATGTGTGCCTCTTAGTTAAAAAGAAGAGACATCCTAGTAATCTAAATCCCGGAGGGATACTCTACCAATATTTGGGTATAAGTGAGCCGCTGAGGGTTTGAAACCCTGACCCTGTTTAGGACAAAAAAATCCTACAACACATACCCTGTTTAGCACAACACCCTCAATTTTATTACCCTGTCTAGGACAAAGGACAAAATGCACTCAGTCTTGCTTTTAAGCCATTTATTTTGAGGGGAAATTCACGTTATAGGCTTTTGTATACTTGGAACGCAAACAAAATTCATCTTGCAAATCAATCCAATCGGGCAGGCAATACCCTGCTGACAGACTCACACGAAATTATATAACCTGTTTGGGACAGAGAGGTAAAAAGACCATACCCTGTCCAACGGCACATCCCCGTATAAGCCATACAATGGGGTACCCGCCCGGTGTCTAAATCTAACCTTGTTTCATCCGAGTGAGGAGAATTAAGTGCGGTAAACTTGGTAAATGTGCAAGCAGCTTGATTCTTTGCGGAGCTGTCATCTTCTTGGCCTTCCACTACCTGAATAGCATTCAGTAGAGTCTCTATTCCTGGAAGCACGGACTCCGAGTTTTCCTGAACATTCTCACACAAAGGAGGAGAGACTTTCGCAGAAACTGATGATCCTTGATTCAAAATGTCTGTCACATTCTCACCCACGGTTCCCACTTGAATTTGCTGTGATGCGTAGCTTGATATCTGCTCGTTTAAATGTGAGCCTCCTTCAGCGCTCACCGCGTTCACACCTTGTATTTTAGCGGGACTCAGCGTGGGTGGAATCTTAGTGTGAACAGGATTTGTAGCACACTGAGGCGATATTAGTCCTGGTTCAGGTAATTGAGGAAATGGCACTGAAGGAATATGGGCTGAGGTGGGCTGTGGGATAGTGCTCCAAGTGGTTTGAACTGGCAAGGGCAACAATGGTACTGAACGGACATTGCCTTGTGAGAGGTACATAAAAGACAACAGCGCTTAATTTGCATGTGAAAAAGTAAATAATTCAGGGACGCCAGATTTGGCGTAGTTTATGCCAACATTTTTAAGATGACTTCACTGAGGTTACAGAGGGAGTCACTTTTACTCCAAAAATTTTTGGTTGCAAAATAGGTGATTTTTTCTTACCTTTTTACAAATACAATCTACATTAACTGCAAACCTTGTAAACCTGATTTAAACCATCCAAATTATATTGAATTTGAGCCTTTCCAGGTCAGCAGACTCTCATGATAGTGTATACGTGCCAGAACCACGGGCTGAGATAGCACACTCGTCGAAAAGAGAGTGACAGAATACATTTACAGAACTTAATAAGGTTACCCAAAGCTGTCAACGTATTTAACTCTTGCTTAAGGAATATTGCATTGCTTTTTTCATTGTGTTACTTGACTCCAAATATTCCAAAAATATGACTCCAAAATTTGTGAAGAGCAGAACACGAAGTCACACTCACTTCACCCATCAATAAAATTGGCAAACCCTGTCATAATAATTCTTTCATTTTTTTCCTTGTTCTTTTACGTTTTTTCACGTTTTTAACATAAGTTTATGTGAAAAGTGTTACAACCTTGAGTATTATGATTTTCTCAAGGAAATTATTGTAGTAGAAAAGACACCGTTGTACCGAGATAAACTGGCAAACTTGTTTGAAGGTAGTCACCCAATGACATTGTTTGAAAAAAGTATGGGACATAGGTCCTTGTGCCATGGTCTATATCTCAATTGTGCTGTCATTGGTCTGGCTGAATGAGGTGAGATCAAACATTAACTGGAGCTGCTACATGCACATATGTGTGACTTGACATGCTGATGTTTCATCTCACTTCTCTTGTCCCTCTGCAATTCAGCCAATGGCATGGCTGCAAGAGCGGAAAAACTGACACCATTTCTTTTCCTATTTTTCTGTGAGCAAAACCCATCCCTCTCCTCCCTGGAGACAACATATCACGAATCTTCAATAGCTCCAGAAAAGATAGACAGCCAGGAATGACTGTTGCACTTACACTGAATTTGATCAATAAATAAAGAAGTTTAAATGCTTACCATAGGATCTTCCAAGGACATTGTTAAGAGCATATATCAAGTCTGCTTCAAGCTTTTCAGAGTTTGTGGTCATATGGACAGCTTCCTGGACTTCATTTGTGCCCAACATGTGAAGGGTGCTTTCTGTTCCCAAGGAAGATAACATAACAAAATGGAGTCACTGATAACCATCATTTCAATGGAGAAGACTTGCAAAGCAAAAGCATGGATAAAATTTTAAAATACTCACAATAGATAGAGGGTTGTAGTAAGACCAACTCATAATTTATTCAGAGTATTATTTTGATGAGTATATTTCTGCTGTTTCAGTGGGACCTTCAGATTTGACATCCACAGTTTTGAAGTTAACTCATGGTATGCAGGAATTTGAACTTAAAAGGCAGTGGAGTTATTATCTTGCAAGTTGTTCTTATAGGACATGAAATGTTGCCTAGTGTTCTTAAATTGCTCCAATTTATACAGCCCGGCCAAAAAGCAGAATGACTAAGGAATAATTTAGTTGAAAGCCAAATGTCATCAACAAAGACAATCAATATGAATAATAATTATTATAATTATCAGTGTATTGATGATTGGATTGGACACAGCTCCGCAATTCTTTGTCATCACAAATAATAAGTTTACTACATAAATAAAATCTACCTGGTAAAATGTCAGCCGTAGAAATGACAATCACTGGTGTTCTGGAATTCATGCCATCAACTGACCTACAAAAATCAATTTACTTCTCATAAAAATTTTTTGGAAAGTACCCTTAACAGGTTTATCAAAAGGATCGCTCTGAAGAACCTGTTCCGAAACTAGCTCTGGTTGGAGCCATATTTAAATTAATTTCCCACAGAGGTCAATTAAGAGGCAGCACGGCTGAGAGGTTAAAGCTCTGGACTTGTAATCCAGAGCCCTGAGTTCAAGTCCTTCCCAAACTGCTAGCATGTTATTGGAGGTCTAAATTTCCATCCTCGCCCACACTTGTAAAACAGCCAACTGGTTCAACCCCCGCAAGCTGGGATTCTTAACCTTGCAATATTCTATTATTTGTTTTATTATCCCTCAAAAATTATGGAAGGAGAAAATTACGTATTTATTATTTTTTTTGTCTCTTTTATCACAGTCTTTGCTGGTGTTCTTTTTGTACGTCAGCCAGGTGCAAACCATGCACCTAGAGCATCAGTCACTCAGGTCAATCATTCTGTTCATGCACTGAGCACCTTTCTGAGGATTCGCGCAGATCCCAGCATGCAGATCTTTTGAATCTCTGTCATAGTAGCTCTCTCTGATACTTTCTTGATTATTAGTATTATTATTATTATTATTATTATTATTATTATTATTATTATGGTGTGATCCTCTCCAGTTCTTTTTCTGGGAATTCTCAGCCATATTTAAGTCTCAGCAGCAATCCCGCAGCTTAGAGACACAACACTTTCCACAAGATATGGACAGTACCAAGAATGGCTGACAACTGTGCACTTCCAAAAATATCTGGTAGACTCAATCTCCAAATTATACCAGGCCTTTGCATTCACTGAGATAGTAACTATTATTATTATTATCATTATTATTATTATTATTCACCAAGATAGATTATTACTATCATAATTGTTTTAATTACCAGACCTTTGACTGAAAGTGATATCAAAATAGTTTAAGTTTATGTAAAATTGATTCACAGACCTGATATTTCTTATCAGTAAAGGATCATTGTCTGGTAATATGATCACAACAAAGTGGGAATGTCTGCTATGTATAAGGGCTTCTGTTGGGTTCCTAACAACCACAGGAATGATGCCTTGGCAAAAGAGATACTGAGATATCCTGGACAGTAACTGCTGTTCATCTGGAGGCAGTGCTAGCATGCACAACTCTGAATCATAAACCTGAAAAACCATTTGGAGAAAGCTAATTTTTTTCTGCTGTGGTTACCTGAAAAATAACTTACAGAGCATGTAGTGATGCTAATCAAAAACACAGTTTGTGGCAATGTGGCCATAATTGCAAGGATTTTAGGTCCAAGCTGAGTTTGAAACATATTCTCAGATTTCACTGCCCCATGAAACGATTCAGTGAACTTTTAGTTTTGAAAACTAATATCTGGAAATTATTCTGGCCTAGTTGGAGCTATGAAGAATGAAAAGGAAAAAACTGTATCAACTGATTGAAAAACGTTTGCACTTAAAGCCAGTTCATTTAAAAAAACGTAACATCTATCATGATTTTACCCCGTATCCAAATTTTTATTCTACCTAGCAAAACTACGATCTCACAGCGTGCAAGTCTTAACTCCTCATAGTTTCAGCATGTTGACTTTGGACTTTTTTTATGTCTAGCCTAAAGTCGCGCGCTGAGTGTTGACGAAAGTTGAAAACTATCGCAATATTATAAATGGCAAATTTCACGCGCTCACAAACGCGACTCTCGCGCACATGGAATCGGATTCAAAGAGTTGTAGTCAGAGTTTAAACAGGAACAAACAACGAAAGTTCAAAGTCATGTAAATATGATTACTTCTGAAACTCTTGCTTCACAGCCAAGATCTACGACAAGCCTATCAATAACATAATTACCTTTGCAGTTTTTTGCAGTTCGCTCGCTCCACCGCGTAAAACTGGAGTCAACTCAACAAGGTTTTTCACAGGTGAGTGACGAGGAGAAGTTGGCGATGACATTTTCAGTCAAAATGTCTTCTAATATTTACCATGGATAAAAAGAACTCGCCACCGAAAGGAAAATCAGAGCTGACGAATCAATAATATTCGACATATAACGTCGACAACATCTTTCGTAGGAAAGAAGGATGTTGTTTCGAAATACGCCATATTTGGTTCTTCTTGTGGTCGCCATTTTCCAATATTTGCCGGGTAGAGCCTGGGTTCCAAGGAATGAAGGGTCACTTCATGTAACCACTCTTGAAACTGGAAAATCTCACGGGAGAGATTCTTTCACCGCCTTTTCCTACCGGTGTGAAGTTGTAGAGAAAGCGATGAAAGAAAATCGATGAAAGAAGCGAATATATAAAGGAGCGGTAAGAGTTCATAAAAGGGTGAGTCAAAAGGATTTATTAGTAGAATTTTTTGTAATTACTGGAGCAAACACAAACACTGTGAAAGCGTTAATTTCCACGCAGCTTTTCTTCTTATTTCTGAAAGGTATTCTTAAATCCTGGATGTTCTGATTAACTGCAATCATAATTAGATTCATACATTTGAGGCTAAAAAGTGTAATCTTTTAAAATCACATCTACCACACCGTCTACTCGAATTTTGCACGAAATGCGAGAAAACCAAACTGCACGGCTAGAATTAGCTCAAGCTTATTTAATTCGGCGGCAATTGCAATCATTTGAGCTTCCCACATGCAGCAATTCCGAGTAGAATGATATTTTAGATACTTATTGTTTAAATAAAAACCGTTCGCGAATTCTTTTTAGAGAAAACAGAACGAAAGTGGCCAAAGTATTGATATGTCCGCGGTCTCCGCGGGATGAACCAAAAAAGGCGCGAAAATGACTGCCATACCTCCCGTTGTTTTGGCTCGAACCCGCAGAAGAAAATAATCACATTTTATCGAGTGCTAACTGATACAACTTACACACATGTTTTATTCTTCGAATTTCAAGCTGATCTGACTCAAAAGAACTTTTCATTTTCGTTCTAAGATTGTCTGCACTGTTGAGTTGATTGTGTCAGACAGCATTGTTGTGCTTACAAAAATAAGTCAATTTGATAGGTAAATTTCAACTATAACAACTTGATCAGAGCCATTGCTGATTCTGAAGTAGATATATAGGATAGGATAAGGTTATGATTTTGAAAGCTGGGCTGAAAATAGGCCCAAATCTACGCTAAATGGGTCCAGCACCACTCACTCTTTCCCAAGTCTCTTCAACCATACCTGCTTCTTTTGCTAAGTCAGTTAGGAATTGTCCATTGGCAATGTGAGCTTACCCACAGGAAGATGACGGTAAACGTTGTGAGACAAGCGTCAGAATAATTTTGTTTGAAACACTCTTCCTCCAAACTTCACCCTACTTTAAACAGGTCTTTTTGTAAAAGACCAGAAAACATTAACTTAAGTGAACATCCCCACAAAACACATAAATAATGGGCCTGTCACGTTTGTCACACAGAAGCGGTTTGCCGTCCTCTTCTTTCTGCCATCCTGTTATGTGAACTCACTAATCTCTGGTTGAAGGGCTTTTTCTTTCGTTAAAACTTAAAAAGGTACAGATGAGGCAGGAATACAGAAAAAGCTGTCATCTTGGTATCTTAATTGTGACTGATTGATTTTTCTTTTGTTGCCCTTTTATGTTCTGGTCCATGTATCCAGAACCTTGTGAGGTTTGGGAAAAATAAAAACTGTGGAAATTCTAATTTTTCTGAGAAAATGTTGTAGCTAGTGTATGAATTTGGTAGGATGAGTTTGAAAAAATGGCTTGACTGTGTACAAGGAAATCAAATTACATTAAAGAGACTTGATCAGCTTAATTGTAAACACCAATTTATAAGGTAATAACTTATAAGGGAACAAACATTTTGTTAATTATGTATCTGAAGATGACAGGATAAATCCAAACTGGTAAAAGGCAGATAAATATTAGCAGAGCCGTCTGTAGTGAAACCATGTCAATTTTTCTCTTCATGTCTTTAATGGTATAATTTATGAGGTACACCTTAAAGTTAAGGCTTTTATCATACATGTACTCATATGAAGTAAATATTATAGCAATACAGGTGTGAGATGTACAGTAGATAATTTTGGAATGTAAATATTCATTAATCAGAGAGATTTTCAAAGACTTCAATGAATCAGGGATTAAATCAGATGATATGCTTGGTGAGGTTGCCAGAAAAATTCATTCTAAAACAGCTAATGTCTTATTATTTCCATTAAGTGAGATTAAGGTAAAAAAAGTGATTTAAGAAGTCAACATTTTTTAATTGCTCTTTAAAAAGATTAACCTAGCTCATTAATCGAAAGCTGTTATTTTCGGGATAGATGAAAAGAAGCCCTAAAGAACTGACTGTAACCTCTTATAGGACAACCTAGATGAGACTTGATAGTGCTACAAATCCTGATCATGACAAATAATTCACATAAATATATCGCTTTAAAAGCACTTCAGGAAGACTAAAACGGCAATTCAGAGCATTTTGGACAAAACAGTCGCCGGGTGCCGCTGAGAAGCAGCTGTTATGAATGGTCGTCTGTTGCCCGGGGGTTACTCCTGGATATTCTTGGTGGGGGGTGTGCCGCCTGGTACTCCAAATCCCGACCCTATTTCAGACCAAAAAGTGTCATTTTTTGCACCCGTTCTCAGACCTGGCCCTTACGAAATTATGTCATCATTACTTAGATTAGGACAGCAACAGAATAGATTTCTAAAAATCCATTTCGAATTCGCATATTTCTCTTTCTTTATTACTCATTTGGAATTGAAACAAAAATACGTTCGTACCTGCCACCGCAGCTCTCTTGAAACCCGTACCCGGTTCCAGACCAAAATGAGCAAAATCTATACCCGTTTTCAGACCAAAGAGGCCCAAAAACCCTACCCCTTGGGGCAGCACATACCTATATGACTTATATAGGGAATTACCCCCCTTCCCCCCCCCGCCAGAGGGGGTTTGTTAATAACCGTTAACCGAGTAAGGTTGCTGCAAAAGTAACGGCCTTGAGAAGCAATTATTGTCGGGCTCCTTCATCTGTCAGTTGTAGCTCCTCCTCTGTAATTAACCTCAATTAAGGCAATGCTTGGGTCCTCATTGCTTAGCGCTTGGCATAGAAACAGGGAGCTCGAATAGAACCCGTCAGAGAAGCGTTTTGTGACAGTAATAGGCTTCTACTCAACTACTATATAACTCATGATTTTTGGTGTCCTGTGAGTTTTCCCGGTCATAGAAAAGATAATTCACTCTAAGATGTTTATCAATGGTTTTGAGCACAAGCAAGTCACGTTATGGCATGTCATTGCTCGTGCTAATTCAGAAATGTTTCGCTGTATTTCAGTTAAACCACAGACTCCGCCCAGACAATAAAATCACAATCCATCAGTTCATTGTCCGTCGCGTGCATGGAGTACCCGCTGGCAGGAAAACAGACAATAACAGTTTGCAAGATCTCAATTAAATCTATCATGTTTATGGTTGTTCAATACGGCAGAAAAACCTATGACAACTACTTTAGGTAATTTTACTTCGGGTAGCAAACCGTTAACAAAATATTGTGAACAGCTTTTTAAATAAAGGTCGATAAGATAATGCTGCGCAAACGCATTTTTGAGGTAATAACTGAAGGGTACCGATAACTAAAAATAAATTCCCTCGGCCGAAACCAAAGTGTGCGGATAGGTGGGTAGAAAGAGCCATTTGCGAACCATCTGTTGTGAAAAGGCCAAAAAAAGAGAATAGACAGTTTATTTACCCTTTTCTGATGTATCACAGCTACAACAATGATACTAGAAGGTGTTAATGCTTTGTAAAGGGGCTCTATCAATTTTTAGACAGTTTTTTTTCGTCCGTGCATTGAGCTTTGAACAAACCGGTAGTTTTTCGAGAGCTGTTCAGGCCCGCAAATGACGCAACACCGTTGAAAGCCCCGCCTCTGTAATTAAGGTAGACAACCAAATATTGGTGTCATTTCCTCTTTGTTCACCACAAAAACGGACAATTTCCGAGCATTTGCTTGTGTTTTTCAGTTTTTTGTGTTGGAATTATCTAATTCAAATAGTTTTCGAGGTAAGTGACATATTGTTTTATACCGATTGCAATATACCTTGAACAATAAGATACTGTGGTCAGTTTGTTGGTTTTCCGGTGCGATGTTTACTTTTTCACGGTGTGGACGATTATCAGTGAGTACTTCTTATAGATGAAAAGAGAAATCTCAAGCA